AAAACATACAGACTTTTCCCCTTTTTTTAGTTCTCCTCATGCATGGTAAATTTACCTAGTTGTATCTTATTTCCAAATTGTACATCACAATCCATTTCCATCTTAGAGCTCTAAAACTTTCCAATGTAGAAAAAGGATGCAAATATTCTTCTACCAAACTTTCAATTATGCCCAGAAGTCATTTTCATTCTAACTGGACTGACTACCATTCATCTAAACCTGAGAAGTCCTTACTGCAGGCTTATTTACTCATTCATTCATTTATACCTATGCTCTACTCATTCACTCTCAGAATGCAAGTATCACTTCTTCAGACAGCCTCCTTGACCATCCTGCCTCCGCAGATGACCCTCCTCCTGAGGTACCTTCCCATCCCCCACCCCTCCAAAAACAAAGTAGCAAAATAAAACAAAAACAAAAAGTTAGTTAACCAAGAATCTTGGGGGTGGGGAGGAAATAATAGATGAACAGGAAAGCAAGCATGACAATGTCTCCCAACAGCCTCAACTTTATCATACCTCCACACCTCTGGGACTACTTCCCATTTCCATCCCCTGAAAAACACCTTTTTCTTTTCTTTTTTTAACTAGAGTAATCTGATTTCATGAATCAAGGCCGGCCTTTCTCCTCGAACCACCCGGGGAGGGGGGGTAATTAGAAGGCAAATAAACAGAGACAGAGACAGACAGACAGACAGACAGAGAGATGGAGACGGAGAGTGAGCGCGCAGGAAATGCTTCTTTCCCTCCCATTCCGTTTCCCATGCTCTCTTCAAAGTCGGCTAGACTCGTCTCTCCTGCCTTCCATCCTTTCCTCCCCACAAGTCTGTGCCAGAGACTAGCTACACCCGAGTATATCCAGCCACTCCACGCAGCCTCTACTTTCTTAAAACAAGAAGTTGACGCCTCTGCTGTCCCTGTCAAGGCTCTCAATGAGATTCCCACAACTGACACTGCTCAAAACATCTTCAGAGGACAGGTCTCTCATTCTCCTTGCCGCTCAACAGTCACCCTACGCCCCAATTACAGTTGCCCTATCATCTTCCAACAATGTTTACAAGGTCCTTCTTCTTGTGCCCCTTTTATTCGTCTAATACCTGTATCTTTAATAAAAATTTTAAAAAGATGCTGCAACTATACCCGCTTCAACCTCATCATCCATACTATACACTGGTTCTTTTAACCCTCGATAAAACATTAAAAATCTCGACTCTTCCCCCAACATCCTATGGTATCTAAAAATTATCAATTCTACCATCAACTCCTCAAGAACACCTTAAAATCCCTGAGTACCCTTGCTCTCCTGCTCATGAGCTCCCGGATAATTTATCAAAACCCTTCCATGCGCCCATGTGCACTTCAGCACTCCATCTTTCAAACCCTTCAAATAGCCTCATCCCCCTCGGAGCTCACCCACAATTACGACTAAGCTCCAGGACCCCCTGCTCTCCCTTCCCGGCCCCTCTATTCCGAGAAGGCCCTCGACACCGGGCTCCTGGCCACTGTTTGCGAAGTCCTCCAGCCCGCCGCGCCGTCCCGCACCTCAGCTTTCACATTTAAAAATCCCTCGACAGCCGCGCCGCCCGCCCCAGCTCCCAGGTCGGCGTCCTTCAGTCCTCCCGCCGGCCTGCAGCCCCGGCCGGCTTTCCCAGTGTACTCGGGGAAGCCCCGCCGCCCGTGCCCGGCCCCTTTCCCCCCCACCACACACACACACACACACACACCTCACACCACCTCGGACGAGTACGAGGCGGGCGGCCCGGGCTCCCGCCTCCCCTCCCCCACGCCCCCGCGGGTCCCCAACGCCCATGCCGCCGGCCCGGCGCGGCCCGGCGCACTCACATCGGCTCCAGTAACTTGGCCAGCCAGGACTTGAGGGCATCCACATCCTCTATGAGCATGGTGCAGGGAAGGCGGGCTCGGCCGCCGCTCCTCCTAAGGCCCGCCGCGGGTCTCCGCTCGCCGCCGCCGCCTCACGTTCCCTCACAGCTCCGGGTGCCCTGACCCACCGGGCATCTTAGAGACTTCACCTACTCCCTGGGCCGGGGCCTAACAGGAACTAACCCAAGAGCCCCACTCAACCTAGCCTGGAGGCTCCGGGGGGCGGGAGGTAACGTGGAGCGACGGGCGCACTCACCAATAGGCGAGAGAGGGCCGCGCGCGATGGGCCAATCGCAAGGCCCACCCGCCCCGCCTGCCGGCCGTATCCAGTGAGGGAGGAGGGACCTAGCAAGGTAGGTGGAGAGTTCAGTGAACTCCCGGTGCAAGATGGTATCTTGGAGAAGGTGCTGTGCCTCTTAAAGGGTCCGCGGCGCCTCTTTTCACCACGCCGCCACCCACGCCCGGAATACCGGTGTCTACTGCTAGGAGTGCCTGGGGGAACCCGGAGAGCCCCTCTTCCTGGTTCCTTCCGCTCGTTTTTTCCCTGGAAACTCACTCCGGTGTCCCGAAATGACTCAGCTGTAGTAAATCTGCAACACAACGTGCAATGCGTTCACGCTGGACACATTGCAAAGAAGCAAGATCTTGCT